GCAGAATCTCTCTGCTGCACCATTTCCAACTTTTTGGGAAGACAGAGAAGTGTAGGGTCCTCTGATAAACTGTGAGTGTAAGGAATGAGAAAGGGAGGGGGAAACAATTGTAAGAAGACCAGGCAAAAGAAGGAAAACTTAAATTATGGGAAGTGATTGTGGATCAGTTGAATTTCTTGCTGCATGTCTGCTATAGTGAAAGAAACACGAATAAAGCTTTGTCCTGAAGAGATGAAACAGGGAGATGCAGCACATTCTACAGCCTGAGGAAGCAGCACCTGTTAAATCTCTGCCTGTTCACATCCCTCCCAGAACCAGGATCAACTGGAAAATGGGATAAACGTAAACTTAATTAAAAAAAATAAAATAAAAGATTTTTTCTTATTGATGTGCAGTAGTGTTGACCACCTAAAATGACAGTACCTTCAAAAATCCACACTTCCTAATTAAAATAGCACATGCCCATTGTTGTTGTTTTCACTGGTAAATTCATTTCTCTTGGGCTGTCAGTTGTGAGGGTCAGACTCAAAGAAATCTTCCTTTCCTAGTTCAGTATATGCAAACAGGATATACATAGTTTTAAACAAATCTAGAATTTACATGGATTCTCACCCAAATGGATCTGTGTATGGGAAATTAGGTCATTGCTCCTCTTGAGGCTCTTTCCATGCTCCACACATTTACAGTATATGGTTTCTCTTCTGTGTGGATCCTTTCATGGCAAGTAAAATCACTGCTAGTAGTAAAGCCCTTGCTGCCTTCCATGCATTTATATGTCTCCTCCCCTTTGTGGATCCTTTTATGGGAATTCAGATGACCCTTCTGAGTAAAGCTCTTTCCACACTCCGTGCACTTATATGGCTTCTCCCCTGTGTGGATCCTTTTATGGGAAGTCAGATAACCCTTCTGAATGAAGCTCTTTCCACACTCTCTGCATTTATATGGCTTCTCCCCTGTGTGGATCTTTTTATGTTTCATAAGGGATCCATTTTCACAGAAGTCCTTTCCACATTCCATGCACTTATATGGCTTCTCCCCTGTGTGGATCCTTTTATGTCTCATAAGGGATCCATTTTCACAGAAGTCCTTTCCACATTCCATGCACTTATATGGCTTCTCCCCTGTGTGGATCCTTTTATGTCTCATAAGGGATCCATTTTCACAGAAGTCCTTTCCACATTCCATGCACTTATATGGCTTCTCCCCTGTGTGGATCCTTTTATGTCTCATAAGGGATCCATTTTCACAGAAGTCCTTTCCACACTCCATGCACTTATACGGTTTCTCTCCTGTGTGGATTCTTTTATGGGAAGTAAGATTACTGTTGTGAGTAAAAGTCTTTCCACACACTGTGCATTTATATGGCTCTTCCCCTGTGTGGATCCTTTTATGGCAATTCAGGTGACCCTTCTGAATAAAGCTCTTTCCACAATCTGTGCATTTATATGGCTTCTCCCCTGTGTGGATCCTTTGATGGGAAGTCAGATAACTCTTCTGAATAAAGCTCTTTCCACACTCTCTGCATTTATATGGCTTCTCCCCTGTGTGGATCCTTTTATGTCTCATAAGGGATCCATTTTCACAGAAGTCCTTTCCACACTCCATGCACTTATCTGGTTTCTCTCCTGTGTGGATCCATTTATGGGAAATCAGTTGACTGCTCTGAATAAAGCTCTTTCCACACTCTCTGCATTTATATGGCTTCTCCCCTGTGTGGATCCTTTTATGTCTCATAAGGGATCCATTTTCACAGAAGTCCTTTCCACACTCCATGCACTTATATGGTTTCTCTCCTGTGTGGATCCATTTATGGGAAATCAGTTGACTGCTCTGAATAAAGCTCTTTCCACACTCTCTGCATTTATATGGCTTCTCCCCTGTGTGGATCCTTTTATGTTTCACAAGGGAATCATTTCCACAGAAGTCCTTTCCACACTCCATGCACTTATATGGTTTCTCTCCTGTGTGGATCCATTTATGGGAAATCAGTTGACTGCTCTGAATAAAGCTCTTTCCACACTCTCTGCATTTATATGGCTTCTCCCCTGTGTGGATCCTTTTATGTTTCACAAGGGAATCATTTCCACAGAAGTCCTTTCCACACTCCATGCACTTATATGGTTTCTCTCCTGTGTGGATCCATTTATGGGAAATCAGTTGACTGCTCTGAATAAAGCTCTTTCCACACTCTCTGCATTTATATGGCTTCTCCCCTGTGTGGATCCTTTTATGTTTCACAAGGGAATCATTTCCACAGAAGTCCTTTCCACACTCCATGCACTTATATGGTTTCTCTCTTGTGTGGATTCTTTGGTGGGAATTCAGATTACTCTTCTGAATAAAGCTCTTTCCACACTCTGTGCACTTATATGGCTCCTCCCCTGCGTGGATCCTTTTATGGGAAGTAAGACTACTGCGTTGGCTGAAGCTCTTTCCACACTCCATGCACTTATAGGGCTTCTCCCCTGTGTGAATCCTTTTATGGGCAATAAGTTGACTGCTATTAGCAAAGGCCTTTCCACACTCCATGCATTTATGTGGTTTCTCCCCTGCGTGGATCCTTTTGTGGGAATTCAGATTTTCCTTCTGAGTAAAGCTCTTCCCACACTCCAGGCACTTATATGGCTTCTCCCCTGTGTGGATCCTTTTATGGGAAGTAAGATTACTGTGTTGCCTGAAGCTCTTTCCACACTCAGTGCATTTATATGGCTTCTCCCCTGTGTGGATCCTTTTATGGGCAATTAGTGGACTGCTATGAGCAAAGGTCTTTCCACACTCTATGCATTCATGTGGTTTCTCCCCTGTGTGGATCCTTTTATGTTTCGTAAGGGATGCATTTTCATAGAAGCTCTTTCCACACTCCATGCACTTATATGGCTTATCCCCTGTGTGTATCCTTTTATGTGCAATAAGCTGACTGCTGTTAGTAAAGGCCTTTCCACACTCCATGCATTTATATGGTTTTTCCCCTGTGTGGATCCTTTTATGGGAATTCAGATGATCCTTCTGAGTAAAACTCTTTCCACACTCAGTGCACTTATATGGCTTCTCCCCTGTGTGGATCCTGTTATGGCAAGTAAGATTACTGAGTTGGCTGAAGCTCTTTCCACACTCCATGCATTTATATGGTTTCTCTCCTATGTGAATCCTTTTATGGGCAATAAGTTGACTGGTATGAGCAAAGGTCTTTCCACAGTCCATGCATTCATGTGGTTTCTCCCCTGTGTGGATCCTTTTATGTGTAGTAAGTTGACTGCTTGTTCTGAAGCTCTTTCCACATTCCAAACATTTATATGGCTTCTCTCCTATGTAGATCCTTTTATGAGATGTAAGGAACCTATTTTCATGAGAAACAGTGAAAGTCCAATTGCAATTTTTTCCATTATCTCTGCATATATTATCTTTTCCTTTGGATTGTGTTGGACAGTGTTCAGTTACATCTAATCTGTCTTTTAATAATTTTACACTTTTGCTAACATACTTTTTCTTTATTTTTCCTTGTTCGAAAATAAAGTCTTGAATCTGAGCATCAATGGAAGATGAGCTGTCCTGATTCCAATTATTTAACTGGATTCCCTCATGCCTTTCTGGTTCCATTTGACTTGCAGGCTTCTCTGTTGCGCCTCCATGCCTGACCATTTGGAATTTTTCACTGGAATCTTTATTCTCCTGCCTATGATTACCTTCAAAGGATAAGAGAAATGAAAATGACAGTAAGGTTAGGGAAAAAGATCAAACAGTAGGAAGTCATATGAACTTCTTTTTGAAATTTTGCCAAATTCCAATATATTGCACATTTGTATGCTTACAATCACATGGTATAGAAATGATAATTTCTATATTCATGAACCATAAAAGCTTTGAAAACATCTGAAGCATCCGTTTTGTTTAGAATTATACTTATATAACCAAATTTTACCCAGAGTCAGCATTCAGTTAAGGAAGAATCAAGGGAAATATCCAAGGAGCTATTAGGAGAAAACCTAACATTTATTGGAGGGGGATCAATAACAGCAAAAACCAGTGAGAACTAAATCAATTTTGAAATTCGTCCTTTTCTTTCTATCCAAACTACCTTCCATTCGCTATTCATTTTTCTCTTGCCAAAATCACATGGTTGCAGAGAAAAAAATTCTAGAGGTCTTCTATTAACCGTAAACAGCAGGTTTGCAACAGAAAAACAGCACCATTTTGCCCTTAACCCCAAGGCTCAGGATAGAAATGAAAAGGAAGACAAGTCATTAACTCAACAGCCTGAATAAATGACAATCCTTTGTAGGACAGATAGGGAAGCATATGGGCCCAAAAAGCTGAGATCAGGGTAATGGAGTTGAGCAGAGATGACATCTGGCTGGAGATTTTTTAAATAAGTAATAGGTGATGGCATCTAACTACAAATATCTTCCCAAACTCTCTGATGGGAGAGAAGCAAACCCTTACCCAGAGAGACCACATTCCTATAATTTTCCAGCATGACTTCCCAATGAAGTGCTTTTTGGTGAGGATCCAGCTGAGACCACTCCTTCTCAGAGAAATACACAGCCACCTCCTCGAAGGACACAAGACCCCCCTGAACAAGGAAAAAAAGAACAGAAGAGGCCAGGAGCATTTGCAAGATTTGTCCTATTCTTCACAAATTCCCAAAGCAAAGATATACATTAAGTTAAATGGCAATGCTTGGTAGGATTCCAAGGTTTAGGTGAGAAAATAGAAAGAGCCAAAAGCTTTTGGCTGAAGAAATATTTCAGGCAGGTTTGATCAACTTGGTTGGTTTTGCAGGACTTTCAGTGCCATTCAGTGAAAACAACCCCAATTTCCTTCTCGATCGATCTATCAATCAATCCATGCACCCAACCTCAAAAGACTCTTAGTGTCTTGAGAGAACTAACTAGCAGATGGCCTTCAGAAACCCCACCTATCAGTGTCTCCAATCCTTCCTGTGTTTGCAGAGTGAAATTGGGGTGGGGGGGTCTTTCTAGCATTTCAGCAAAGGGCTTATGGTGTCCCCAGAAGGACCAATCTTGCCCATGCTCAACAACTTCATGAAAGTCCTGGGAGAACCCAGCCAGGGATTTGGGTGGGGGGCCATCAATATCCAGAGGCACACAAGCCGGTTTCTTCTCCTCCTCGGATTGCAAGGAGGCTGCTAGTAGTCTGAGCCATTGGCTGAATGGGAGGCAAGAAAGCGGAGGCAATTTTCTGGGAAGGACATTTCTCAGCCTTTGCAAAGCTGGATTCCTTGGCCTCCAAATCCAGGCAGAAAACAGAGGATTAGAAATTACTTTGCAAGGCAAAAGTTCCTTGATTATATGCTCTTTCAGAACAATTTCTACTTACAGACTTTTCTATCTGGCCACTTTCATTGGATTTTAATGGCCTGACTTATGTCTTAATCTGATGTGCTTATATTTCTTATCACTGGTTGGAAACAAGGCTTTTTAAAAATGGCAATGTGCCA